GGGGGGGGGGGGGGGGGGGGGGGGTGGAGGAGAAAAGAAGAAATATTCAACGAACTATTTCACAGGAGTGATTCAAGTTTGTAATTAGTTGTTGAAAAAGGAGTATTTGTACTACTGTCCATTTGGTTGTCATGGTGTTGCCATAGTGATGCTGTATAATGTATCTATTGTTAATATAGTTGCCATGATGTAGTCACAGTAATGGTGTAATGTCAGCAAGGTTTTAAAGACGTTGTCATGGTGATGATGTAATGTTAATTCGGTCGTCATGACAAGACATCTACAACGAAGTAAGACGTACTTCGTTTCTTTCCTTACGGAAAAGTTCATGCGGTACATTTGCCTTGAAGTAATTCCTATCGTACTGAACACATATCAAAACAATATAGATACATGTACATGTAGCCTTTAGCCCAGTGCCACGAACTGTGGGCTGTCTTGTGCTTGTCATAATATTTGCATTTTTATTTGTTGCAACTCTTCATTTGCAGTGAAAGACCCATATTTAGAGCATTGCCAATGGAATTAAGAGACATAATAAGTGTAGAACTTCAGTCCTCGCTGGCGTATCGGATGAACCATTGAAACAAGAATATTATCAATACCAGTGACTTTATAACATGACGCCACATGGGACTTTAAAAAAAAAATTAAAGTGATATCTTTTCATCCCCTAGTGCCAACACTGTTCTAACTCGTTGTTGTAAAGTAAATAGCTTATACCTTCACTAATTACAAGAAATAATTATAGAGGAATCAAATGAGTAAAAGAATAGGGAGTTATTGAGTGTAAGTTAAATGTCCTTAAGAGTAACAAGTGTAGCAATTGTTTTCGTGGTAGGAAAAGATGGAACATGCCACAGTAACACATAGTTTGATTGGATTGGTTAATTTCTCAATAGATTTGCAAGTTTCTGACAAGTGTTAAACACAAATTAAGGATGGATATGGTCCAAGCATGAGTAATTCAAATAATATTTTAAATATTTTTATTGAAAACAAGTCTCTTAGAAATTACCTAATAGGGAAATGGTAAATGGTGGTTTGCAACATGATAATAGAAAATTCCTTGTAATCAAGCAAGAAAACAATTAAATGCATGATCAGTACGAAGAAATTGAGTGTAAATACATGTCGGTGAATAAATGTTTGAACGCTTTAGATCGTCTTTATTCTCAGTATAAATTCGTTTTATTTTTTTGTAGTTTTTGAATGCGGTATACTCTGCAGTTTAAGGTATTTATTAAGTCTTTATCAATGGTTAACTGCTTGTTTCAAAATAATGGATACCATACATTTGTACACTATCGGGAATTTATTCATAATTTATGGAGATCAGATAGTTTCTTCGTTCGTGGTAGGCCTATACCGTTTCCCCCTTAATTTCTTTGGTTTGGGAGTTCGTAAGAAACTTTAATTTAAACAGTGGCGGATTTAGAGTGGGGTCAGGGGGGGTCCTGACCCCCCCTTCGGTTTCTGAAAAAAATCACACTGATATTCCCCTCTTGGAATTCGAATTTTGACTAGTTGATTTATAGTTCTTAACCGTTCCAAATTTGCCCTCCAAAACACTCCAAGAGGGTCCGAGGGTCGGCTTAGCATCCGAGGCCTGTCATTCTTGAAAAGTTGGACCCCCCTTTAAATAATCCTGGACCCGCCCCTGTTTAAAAGGGTTTGGTATAAATAAATATTTGAACTATGTTATTTATCAACTTAAAATAACTGCCGCACAAAATGTTTTCAGAAAAAGGTTACTGCCCTGACCAAGAAAAAACCTTTAAATTTGGAGATACGACAATAGGTGGTAAGGGATAACTATCGAGGCGACAATAATTTAAAAAACTGGTTTGTAAAATGTGTCTGTATTATATACTGGTACACAAAGAGACACCGAGGGGAAATTAGCAAATCCGAGCCTGCATTTCGTTCACGTTCGCCTTAGAAACATTTCATCGAAAACAATTAGCCTGAGCGAGTAAAAATAGAACATCCACAGAGCACTTGTCATTAGAAATGTTTTTTGTTTTTCGTCTTCTGCGTGATAATGTTAGCGAACAAAGTTGGGGAGAGAGAGAAATGAAAACCAATTTGTCAAATGTTTGTTTTTTTGCTTCATGGACTGGTGTCCTGGAGAATCAGAAGCTCACTGCGTGTTTCAGTTTGTGTTAAAGTAGTAGATGCAGTAGACTTAAGCCTCGTCTCCGCTCCCGCTGCCACTGCCATCTACCGGGGGTTTTGTTGGCTTGACACATTTGACACCTTTTGCAGCATATGTAAAAGACACTAGCTGGTCACCACACTTGGCCTTTTCTATGGCGCACCTGAAAAATGTATTAGGACCGACATGTAGACATACACTCACACCTATGTCAATGTAGTTAACTGACAATTAGAAATAATTATGTAACACTTTACATTTAGAGGTATGAACCCAATGGATCATTGGAAGGAAACAGATAGAGGTTTAACTCACCTAGTCTTGTATACCCTGCCGTCCGAGCCACATACTCTCAGAACTTTTTGCTTCCATCTTTTCGGACAGTCTTCGCCTGCTTTCAACGACTTACAGAACTCGGAGTTCTCCTTGTTAACAAACGGTTTCAGAGTTTCAGGATTAGTCTTCTTGCAAACTTTCCAGTGGTCTCCGATATCAGCACCTGCACAGCGGGCTTTGTAGAACTCGCAACTGTGACAGAAATATGTAAAAGATAGTAACTGCAAGCTTTATACTTGTTAACATTAACATATCATATACACTCTCAAAGAAAGGTCGTCAAGTTTTGTATCTGTATAAGAAATGATGGTATAACGACGTTTATTCTGATATTTAATATCTGTCTACCAACATTACCTATCGGGATCTTCTTGATGCAATTGAACCTGATTTTTATTTCTCTTCAAATTTAAGTCAAATTCAAGGGCCATGGGGAAGACTAAATTTTAATTTAACATATTTTACCATCAATAAATAAATAAATATAAATTCTGCATAATAATTTTACCTGATGCGTTTCACATCATATTTAAGTCTTCATATTGGTTTTACCTGTTCTTGTATACCTTCCCGTCGGCATCACACACCTTGGAGTTGGCAGTCAAAGTCTCTTTGCAGTCCTTGGTTTTTGGAAAGTAGTCACACAACCAGTCATCTATGTCACGCCTTGCTTCCTCCACCACAGGGACCTTTGAAAAAAGTAATAACGATATGAAATATATAGTCACACAACCAGTCATCTATGACACGCCATTTTTTCTCTACCGCGAGGTTTTCTTTGTAGAAAAGTAATAACGATAAGATTTATATACCCAGACTCAGGCCCGTAGCCAGGGGGGTTCGGGGGATTCGAAAGAACCGCCCCTTTTGCTGGGAAAAGGTCCACTCTGGGTAAAATTTGATCTAGGTACTTGAAGTATATATGGGGAAAGGTCCACCTTTTCAGAAAAAGAACCCCCTTTTGAAATTTCTGGCAACGGACCTGCCAGTAGTTACACAACCAGTCATCTATGACACGCCGTTTTTCTCTGCCGCGGGGACCTTTGTAGAAAAGTAATATCCAGTAGTTACACAACTAGTTATCTATGCCACGCCTAGCTTCTACTAAATAATGAAATTGAACAGTTTGGAGAAAGGTCAAGGGGTGGAAACCAACACAATGTTTCTGAAGCAGGCAAACAGCCAGTCACTACTCCTATCCCTCTAGGTCACTTAATGCTATACCTTTTTGTTTGTATCAGTCTCCCATATTTTAGTTTTAAATGTTTAAAGGGTTACAAAATGCAAATTTAGGGAAGGACAACTAGGGTATCTGTCACCACATGGTTTCTGCTCTCCTAGACCGGCTTTGTATTTATTTATTCATCTTTTAAAAATATTTCAGCTGTTACTGTCTTTATTAATAAAAGGTGACTGACAGGATATACAGTGATTGTTTTGTTAAGATATATTGTCAAATAAGGGTTGGGAAAAAAGAAAAATTTTATTTAAAAAAGTATATATTACTTCATTAAGCTAATTTATGTTCAAAAAGTACCTAGTTCAGTGTTAAATAGTCTTGTTGATCTCCAGCTATGCGTATTATCATGTTTTTGATGTACCAAAAAGATTCTGTTGTGCAACTACCAAAAAATATCGGAATTTCATAAATAATATCATGGTGTAATAAAAGACCCCACCTAGTAGGAATATGTTGCAAAATATGCTGGTGTGATTAGGGTTAAGACAAGTGATGACCCTCCTCTTCGTTCAACATGCACTGTATGTTTACCAAAGTAAACGAGTTCTTTAAAGAAAATTAAAGAAAATTAACAATGCCCTGCAATGACATCTATGTAAGGTATTTCTATTGTTTTATCAAATGCTTATTTTGTAGGCACTGTCAAATATATCCAGAGAGATATCTCCATATTGAATAGAGGAATATCTCATCTTATGTGAACGTAATGTGAAATTGACGTACCTCACCCTCTCCACTGCCGCTACCGCTGCCATCTATCGGAGGTTTTGTTGGTTTGACACATTTCTCTCCTTTCGCCAAATAGGTGAATGTCACTATAGCAGGGAGACATTTGGCTTTTTCGATAGAACATCTGGATATGAATTTACAGACATCCTCTAAATTATTATCGAAATAACGTTATTTGTGTAAATCTATGAGTAATGTGCACATTAGGCCTATGCTTATCAGACAAGTGTGCATACAGTCACGAGTGATAGGTTACAATAGAGAACGTTATGTGAAATTTTGTAGTTTCACAAAAAGAAAAGAAAAATATAATTTTTCAAGCTCTAATAAGTTTTCCATTAGCACCAACCTTGACTTGTACAATTTGCCGTCCGAACCACAAACACTCATGGTCTTCTTCCTCCACGACCTAGGGCAGTTTTTGCCCTCTTTCAACGACTGACAGAACTGTAGGTTTTCCTTGTTAACAAAGGGTCTCAGCTGGGCGGGTTCGGGAGTTTTCTTACAGACTTTCCAGTGGTCGTCTATGTCTGCACCTGCACAGCTGACTTTGTAGAACTCGCAGCTACAATGAAACATTTTAAAAAGCAATAGTTACAAATGTAATGTCCGTTAATTAAATCACCTGTTGAGTCTGTTATTTTGACTAAATAATTGGACTATAGAGTATTCATGTACCCAGTACCTTCAAATTTACATAATCATAAGTAAAGTAAAGAAGTTGATTCGACTCGTGTCTGGTTTTTATTCATCGTATTCTAACAGGCGGAGTGAGATTTATATATTTGTGGCCCTAATTCAGATTGGCTGAAGACATTCTCACATTGAGGAGGATACATCCAAGGTGCTGTGTGTGGTGCTGAAAACTAGCATATGAACAATATCTTTGGAGATCTATTAATCTATCTTTTAAGTCAAATCAAACCTCTTCCGTATGAACAATCGTTTCTCAGTTGATATTCACGACACAATGTAGGCCTACTCCTGGTCATCGCGTTGGTCTGATGACTGCTAGGACTCCAGACTGTACTTACCTATTAACATACACTTTGTCGTTACTATCACAGACTTGGACCGCTAGGACTCCAGACTGTACTTACCTATTAGCATACACTTTGCCGTTACTATCACAGACTTGGACCGCTAGGACTCCAGACTGTACTTACCTATTAGCATACACTTTGCCGTTACTGTCACAGACTTGGACCGCTAGGACTCCAGACTGTACTTACCTATTAGCATACACTTTGTCGTTACTATCACAGACTTGGACCGCTAGGACTCCAGACTGTACTTACCTATTAGCATACACTTTGTCGTTACTATCACAGACTTGGACCGCTAGGACTCCAGACTGTACTTACCTATTAGCATACACTTTGCCGTTACTATCACAGACTTGGACCGCTAGGACTCCAGACTGTACTTACCTATTAGCATACACTTTGCCGTTACTATCACAGACTTGGACCGCTAGGACTCCAGACTGTACTTACCTATTAGCATACACTTTGCCGTTACTATCACAGACTTGGACCGCTAGGACTCCAGACTGTACTTACCTATTAGCATACACTTTGCCGTTACTATCACAGACTTGGACCGCTAGGACTCCAGACTGTACTTACCTATTAGCATACACTTTGCCGTTACTATCACAGACTTGGACCGCTAGGACTCCAGACTGTACTTACCTATTAGCATACACTTTGCCGTTACTATCACAGACTTGGACCGCTAGGACTCCAGACTGTACTTACCTATTAGCATACACTTTGCCGTTACTATCACAGACTTGGACCGCTAGGACTCCAGACTGTACTTACCTATTAGCATACACTTTGCCGTTACTATCACAGACTTGGACCGCTAGGACTCCAGACTGTACTTACCTATTAGCATACACTTTGCCGTTACTATCACAGACTTGGACCGCTAGGACTCCAGACTGTACTTACCTATTAGCATACACTTTGCCGTTACTATCACAGACTTGGACCGCTAGGACTCCAGACTGTACTTACCTATTAGCATACACTTTGTCGTTACTATCACAGACTTGGACCGCTAGGACTCCAGACTGTACTTACCTATTAGCATACACTTTGCCGTTACTATCACAGACTTGGACCGCTAGGACTCCAGACTGTACTTACCTATTAGCATACACTTTGCCGTTACTGTCACAGACTTGGACCGCTAGGACTCCAGACTGTACTTACCTATTAGCATACACTTTGTCGTTACTATCACAGGCTTGGACCGCTAGGACTCCAGACTGTACTTACCTATTAGCATACACTTTGTCGTTACTATCACAGACTTGGACGCCAGCTGTCAGCGTCTTGCTGCAATCTTCTCTAAGTATGTGGTAGCACAGCCAGGTGTTGAGGGCCCGCCTTGCTGGGACAGCTGGGGTAGTGTCTATAACACGGGGTGGTTTCGTAGGTTTATTACGTAGACAGCTCCTCAGGTTCCAGTTTAGTCGCAGTCGTGGGTTGATGCACTTGGCGGTGTCAAACTCACACCTTGGACAGAGTGTTAGCTTAGTTATTGTCTACATCCATGAATGCTCTTGTATTAAGTGCAATTTTGGTACAAATGAAGACAAACCATTTAAAAGCTAAAGGCTAAAAATACAAAGCGAATCTGAGCAGAACGAATATACGTACATATACAAACTATTTATATGGATGAGTTTTGGAAAAATAGTATTAAAAATTTCTTGAGGACACTTTCAATTGTGATGTTGTATATATGGGTATATATATAGTTGTGTAAGCTAATAACTGATGTCGGTTGCCATTTATTAACATGATGTCCGAGTTTTCATTGATCCAATATTAAATCTGTGTTTTTCCTTACCTGCTTCTGTAGATGTTTCTGTCGTTGCCGCACAACATGAGATTTGGCACCTTCCATGACTTCGGGCATCCCTCCTGAACAATCCTGCAGACTTTGGGGCTGTGGGTGGGGTTCACACGATAGGGGTGTTTGGTAGGTCTCGTAGTGTTAATGTACAGCTGACCAGTCTTATTGCACTTCTGGTAGATCAGACTTATCTTTGCATCATCAGCGCAGGCTGCTTTGTAAAACTCGCATCTAGAAAAATATACAAGAGTAAAAAGAAATGATACGATGCTCTCTAAGTCAATGAAAATGACCCGTTACAAATATAAACAGTGATTCATAGTGTTATTATTATTTTTTTGTTAGTGCTCAATAAATTTTTCTGGCGTAAGTCTAAATGACATGATGGTGTGGTACAGCATTTGATTCTCAATTACGATCAACTGATATGTGACTTTTTAACTTATTAAACATAAATGGACTTTCACAAACGAGATAATTCAACAAATGCTTGGTTAATGAAATAGGAATACATTGTTCAACATCTCTGTTCAATACCCGTGAGCGTGCTCCTGCAGGTTATCGTCACATATCTTGACAGTTGTGAACCTACTGCTGACTTGGGAGCAGTCCGTGTCTGCGGTGTAGTGCTCACATATCGTCTCTATGCCTTTAGGATAGCTGGTCGGTATTTTGGCGGCCGTGGCCACACCTACATAAAGAAATAAAATGTTAAAATGACAAGGTGTTTCTCATCAACACGATTGTAACGTTTGGAAAAGTGTAAACTAATTTAAATTAGTATAACGTAGACCGAGGGATATTACACATAATAGCGCTTGTAAAAGCGACCGACCTGCTGCAAGCAGAACAACGATCACAGAGTTCATCTTGCACTATTCTGCTGTGGACAACTCCACACGGAGGAACTGGTTGTATTCTATATTATAGAACTGGTTGTATTCTATAATACTGGGGGTGTGCAGCGTGAAGGCGGAGATAACCAAGCCTCTAGAGCCACATCTGCCGTGTTTCACATGTATCATCCACTGATCGGATTACAGAGGATGGAACTAGTTAGATCTGGCTAAAGATCTAGTTTGTGCCCTATGTTCACCGATGTAATAAGTCGAACAGTTACAGATAACAGGGTTTTGATACTCAAAATCAAAGAGTTCCATATGCTGACTTCTGTATCAAAAGTCAGCCACATTTTCTCATACCAGTTTTCAGAAAGTTAGACACAGTCTCAAAAACTATAACCCATCAACGTGTTTCCCAGCTAAAATCTGGACCCTTTTTGGGTCCAAGCACCCAAATTTCTACCATTCTTAATAACCATTTAAGAAATAGTTGAATTGTTATAATAATGATTTCAGTTGAAAATGCTAGGTTAAGTGACCGCAGAGGCACCAAAACCTGGTCAATCATTACCCTCTACCAGGGCGACTGATAGATTTTTTGACATATTCACAGATATGTCTCTAGATAGATAGATAGATGGTCATTTTGGTCTGACTTCAGACCAAAATGGTAGAGGGTAGGGTTAGGGTCTTATCACAGTTAGGATACAGGCTACAATAATATGTCTTAAAATTTCATTTAGTATTTGTTCTTGATTAGTAATAGTGCTTCCATCACTATTTACTAATTTTTTAACCGTTTTATTTCTAAAATTTCTATTCTATAATCACAAAATAAAATGTATTTTGTGGGGTTTTCACCTTCTTCAGCCCATTAATCTTTTGCTCTAGCAATAAATCTTCAATGTATTCCTTCCGCATTTCCTCTCATTCTTGTTTTAATAGTACACGTAATAGCTGTTCATCAAGTTCTGGTGAAAAATCTAAGCTAAGTTTACTATGTTATGTACGTCTGATACTTTTGCCCCTAAAATTTTTTTCCTACGCTCTGTGCTTTCTAGACCCATATGGTGTATCGAGTGACCATATCTATAGCCATGAGTCATTAGTGCTTTACCTACCAGAGCCATTAAATCACTAGAGATCAAGAAAAAAATCCAGGTGTGCCTTTTCGATTGGATTGCAACGAAATCGGGACCCGGTTGCACCAACCGGTCGTAAGTTACGCGTAGCAGTTGCGCCAGCGTAAATCCAGCACAAAACGCTACGCCCGACAGTTGCACCAAACTGGAATAGTGTTTACGTCGGTCTTAACATAGTCGTTAATTTACGCCTGTCAGCTAGGTGGTGTAAGTTGGTCGTAGCTCGTTTTTCACTATGGTTAGGCTAGTACTGAGAGAGTTTGATGACAATTCTCGTAGTTAACGTAGAAAATGTGGGTTGTTATTTGTTTGTCTCTTCCACAAAGCTTCCTCCTTTATAACTGAGCAGTGGCTTGGATTTTAAAACACACACACACACACATACATTTTTTCTTCACATTTTATATTATTCATATTTTACGATGGATTAAGATAGAGGCGAAAGCTTAGAATATCAACATTTTAAGGCTCATATAATATGTATTAAGGCTCTTGTATTTCTTTACAAGATGTAGGCTCGCTTAATTTAAATAATATCACATGATGTAACTATACATAAGTAGGTCATAAAATTGTTGACACTGTTTAAAAATTATAAAAAGAAAACAATATTGGCGTTAAAGGTGCAATTTTGGCAATATTTTCAGACTCAAAAGTTTGAATAACAAATGTGAAGGTGTTCAAATCCATTATCTGGAATACGTACTGCATTCAAGCGTTTTTCGCATTTTCAACAGCAGCAAACAAATCAATCAATCAAAGATTTTAATTTTTTAATCATACTATAATAATATATTGGTCCGGAATACATTTACGATTTATTGCTATACATCCAAGGCAACAGCAAAGTTAACATATTTTAACGTTTTAATTTTTAAGTCAAAATTGAATGTCTGAATTTCTCTGTCACTGAAATGCTCATTTTGTGTTTATTTATGTCATCATTCCATTATGACTGCAGCTGCGAACTCCTCATTTGCCCAATAATACCATCCAGTTTTGCTGGGCAGTGATGCAACGAAGCGTTACTCGGGCGTAGTTAATACGATCGTTTCTTTTTATTTGGTCTTGGTGTAAGCAGGGAGAGTAAACCCAGGGTCCCGTAATTCGAAAGCATCGCACATTGCGACCGAGCACAAGCGTCTCTCTTCCATAACTCGCCCATACTCGCCCAGTATAATACATTGTAGCCTCTATGTGATATCGCTATTCGCAGTGCGCGATGCTTTCGAGTGACGGGGCCCTGGTGCACGGACGCCAGATGTTGCGGTTTACGACAGTCGTATCCGAGTAAATTTACGCCCCGTTAGTGTAACCGGACCCAGGAGTATTACTCTACGTTTTGATGTTGCAGTCTCCATAAGTCTAGTATTGAGAGTTCTCTTTCAGGCGTAAAATCACGTCTAACTTTGGGATTGTTTACCTTATTGTAGTTATAAAAATGTAACTCGGTGTTTTGAACTAAATTGAAGCTTCCGTATATATATCGAAATCTCATTGGATGTTTCCAATAATATAACAGCGATATTTGTAAAAAAAAGAAAATAAATAAAAAACTATAATAATAATAATAAAAAGAAAAAACGGGGCTGTTTCTATTTGGTCCATATACATTAATCAGAAATAACGAATAAATTTCATCTACGAGAAAATCAACTACCATACAATTACTCATGTTATCACATGCAACACTTAAACTTTTATACTAAATGTTGTTATTGAAGAGTATGGCAGTACCTCTAAAGCACGATCTTTCTGGGATAATGAGGATTTCGCCCCCCCCCCCCTCAATTGACTTTTGTCATTTTCTATAAGTTGAGTCTCTTGAGGGCAATATACTGAATTATCTTTTTGCTTCAAATAATTGGGTACGTCTCTTCTCTTTTGTAACCCCCCAGCCTCCTGCAGTATAAGCTAGGGCAATTGCAATACTCATAATGCACAGTCAAGTAAGCATTGTGCATAGCGTTGATGAAGTGGACCATATCAAATAGACAGTGACTAAGGGAATAATTGTGTTGGGTTTGGTTTTACGAATCAATTGAATTTTGTGTCTTTATTTTTAAAACTGCACTGCACCATATTGTACTGTAGTACTGCTGGTCACTAAAAAAGTACAAAATTACCTTACAAAATACAAAAAATTCCTTACAATATTCCTTTTAAATAAAACAATAGTCCTTATAAAATAAGTACATGAAATTAATATAAAACTTACAAAAGTGTAGAGGAAAACTTCTGCTACACCCTCTCTGGTCTGAGTCTGGTCTGAGTGTCTCTGGTCTGAGTGAAGATGAATGTGCCCTAGTCACACGAGTGAGCATATTCAAACGATACATCTGAGTGGCATAGTGAGCAGTGATCAGATTAGTGAGCTTATTTATTCCAGCACGTCTGGGGTTCACTGCGCAGAGATACAGTAATTACTTATCACTGCAACACTAAATTAATTATATCACTTCAAAAACTAATTTATTCAAACACCACATTTCTTGACAAATCTTAACTTATGAAATATGTTAATACTGTAACTAAACTGAAGGTAATAAAAAAAGCAGACTTATATAACATCATCAGTGACATACTACCATAATTCATATACAATGTTTCACTAGTAGTTTAGAACAATTATACGTACATCCTTAACAGGAATTAATAAACCCAATTTTCTAACAGATATTTCTACCACAACTTCTTTGCTTTTAGTGTTTCCCCAATTTTGAGAAATGAAAGTATTATCTGCACCATCATCCAAAAAACCTACAGTATTGGACTGGGTTCCCACAGATTTAGATCGATCCATCTGTATCGACCTGGGGGTTCACTCTAAATTGCTGTCAGCTTCCGGGAGCCGAGCACACTCAAAAGTTAATTAACCCCTTACAGCTTTTAATAGGCAGGATAGACATTTAAGCCGGTTAAGCTGTCAGCAATTTATTGAGACTCCCCAAGGGGAAAGATCAATCTAAATATCTGTGGTAATGGTCGGTTAGGGTTAGGGTTAGGGTTAGGGTTAGGGTTAGAGTTTACGGTTTAGGGTTAGGGTTAGGGNGCAGTACCTAGCCTACATGACCATTCCAAGATGTGTGACAGGATATTTCTTCAATCCACCTGGTTGTCTGGGTAGAAGAATTTCTTTTTCCCCCCTTAATTGCACATTACACTTAAATGAACACAGTTTTGAAGAAGTGCTGTCTTGGTACTGTATTCTGGCAATGTGTGGACTATAAAAATAGGAGCAAAGATAGTGAGAACAGGTGCTAATATTGTAATTTTGTGTACTTGTTTTCCTCCCTGCCATACCTTAAATTCATCTTACAGTCTATCATTAAATGACCTTGAATTAAAGTGATTTAATCAAGAATTTTGACACAGCAATTAAAAAAACTGAATTAAAAGTCACATTTTTCTTTGTTGCTCTGTATAAGGCAATAATTTATTAATAAATAATACCTTGGTAAATGACTCATTGTGTCAGAGATGTGAGGGGGTAGCCAGTTTACAGTCATCAGCATAAGGGTTGTCATAACACATTTTGTGCAAAATAATTTTTTTAATTGATTAAGTTACATTCATTTTCCACTGTTGAACCAACCAATCACTCTCCAGCTTAGCTCAACATCATGGGCCCAATTGCTGTCCATTCCCTTTAATAGTAATAAACATTTCAAGCTGTCCAGTTGTTTTTTTTTTCTTTAAACTTATTGTTCTTAGGGAAAAAAACAATTTAATAAGCTTCAGATTCCATGCCTTCCTTGTCACCTTGTGGTCACCTCTTTCTCTGTGGCATCCATTTGTACACAGCAGCCATTTCCTTTGTCTCATCAGCAACCTTCTTTTTCCTGGCTTTTTTGTCCTGAAATATGTAATATTTTCTTTTGTGTGATATGAAAATAACATTGACCCAAGATTTAGCTTTGAAAAAACTCTTAAGGTAATTCAAGGTTGAGAGCATTTAATTTTACAAAATTTAGTCAAATCATCACAAAGTTATTCAAATTCAATCAATTACCATACATATATTTGGAACAAGACATCTGATTAGCAAAAGTGAAATGATAGCAAAAACACTCGTAAAAGCTATCTATAAGAATGTACCATTAACAGTTTCTTCATTTCCATCTTCTGTGCTATTACATGAAGGTGTCTTTCTCTTTCTATCCTTTTGGAAAGTTCCTTGTATTTTTTCTTTCGTTCCTCTGCAAATTCCTATACAATTGAAAGATAATTTGATCTCAACTCTCTTGTCTCTTGTGGACAATTTTAAAAGTCAACAAATCAGGTTATAGTATTCTCAATTGGAGCAATGACTACTTCTGACTGATCATCAGACTTGATGACGAGGAATTTAAAAATTCATCAGGTTTGATCATCATAAGCAAGGCTTTTGTAATGAACCACTGATAGGAAATACAAAAATACATTTTTAAAAAAATAAAATCCAGACTCAAGCAGTTAGTGAAAAATAAATTGTTGAGGCAAAAAACTGAATTGTCAAGTACACTGTCATTACCTGAACTGTATCTTGGTCAAGACCACTCTGATATGTTTGAGTTTTCAACATGTCCAAGGTTGGGCGGTTGTATGTTCTCCCAAGTAAACTGGGGTGAGTGTTGAAACGTTTGGCTACATCAAACGATTTTGCTGAAGTTGCAAGTTTAAATTCATAAGTAGGATTTAACAGGTCCAAGTGTCAAAATCATTCTCTATCCATTCTTTTTTTCTCTCATCATTATCATCACAGAGAAAAAATCTGACAAAAGTATTGAATGATCAACAAATTTAACAAGAATTTCCATTCTTAATTATAAACTATACAATTAAAATGTACGTCTGAATTTTTCTTATTTACTGTTCACTTTTCATTTTAGCAATTGTATGTTTTTTTAAATGCATACAAATATATTAAAATGTATATGCACTTACCTTCTTTCTTTGAGTCTACAAAAAATGTATGCTTATTTTTTGGTTTTTCTTCACCTTCAAGTAAATGCAAACTTCCTTTTAGCTTTTCTATTTTCTATAATTAAATAAAGCAACAACATAAATTAATATACAACAAAGTCAAACAAATAAAAATTTTAATTCTTAAAATTTAAAAGAAAACTGCACAATACACATGCAAATTTATTTTAGACATTTTCTGACTTTGATTTGTCCTTTATGTTATGCTAAGGGTGATTATTATTTTGAAAATATAGGACAGTCACCCATCAACATGGTCTCATACACCCTGTTGTTTTCCATGATACAAATGAACACTGCATTTTAGTGATGATGAGCCGTGTATTATATTTCTTTAGTAATGCCAACTTTAAAAAGGTTCAGAATGAGCCAGCTAATTTAATGTCACAATAAGCCATGTTTCTACTTATACCGTTTGTCTCACAAATGACTGATAAACCTACGATGGGACTTAAATGAAAAGATTTGTCCCACAGCAAAGTTTAGAAACCATAACTATAAATAGGTCACTTGGGTCATGTGATGTCATTTGAATTTAGTCAAAAAAAAAACTCAACATGTGTTGAGGTTTCATTAACTGGTTTAGTAGTTTTATTTTTTAGGCCCTTGCAACAAAGGAGAAAAAAGAAAAAATTAACTCAAAAGTTAGCAGAAGGCTCCATTTAGAGGCTGGAATAACAAAACAGTGCAACAAAATACACTGAAAATTATGGGAGAAAACCTGGCACGTGTAAACGAGCAGGTGTTTCATGAGGCCCAAAATGTTAAGTAATAGATATATATCAATTCATGTCAAAAATTATTAGAAATTAATTCAAATATCAGTTTTAATTATTCTTCACTCCCTTTTTAATGCCAAATAAATAAGGGGCAAGGGAAAAATAAACATTTTATGTGCAACTAACTAGACTAGGTTGCAATGACCTCAGTCTGGTACATGGCGAGTGAGCGTCTTTGAGTGAGCGCCTTTAAACACCCACAGAAACAGATATTGGTAGACTTAAAAAATAAAAGAATTATAAAGAAGAGGTTTTTAAGTTTCATTTGATGTGCAACACAGATGTTCATTAAAAGAAACTTTGTAACAAGAAACAATCAGTGCCAAGAACAGGTGTGCAGAGGCTACTGCAAAATATTCCTTTACCTTCAATTCAGTGCTTCGCTTGTAATTGATATATTTTAGATCTTGGGATTGCATTAATTTCAACTGTTCTTCACTATATGCTGGGGGAGAGTCATCATTTTGGTGCACACCTTCCTGAAAGTAAATCATCAAATAGCTCTTAAATATCCTAATTGAATAACAAATTTTAAAAATCCAATAAAATACCCAGGTACATTCAATACCCACAATGAGACATTGCTTTAATTTCTTAAATATTGAATGGCATTGTAAGTTAAAAAAAAACAGTAACAGGTGATCTATCATTTCAATGGAAGACAATTAAGTAAGCTTTCAAAAGTTTATAACATCATCCCCTCACTCGCAAGACTAGATGAATTAAAAGTTATTGTAAATCTCAAATAAAAGAGAAGACAATTAAAAAAAAAACTAGCAAAAATGTTCGTTAGCATTATCAAACACAAGCCAAAATATTTTCATACTATTAGCTTACGGCCAACCTAGGCGAAGGTCACCCATGAATAGGGACGGGGGGTCGATCTACCTGACATTCATAAGAGGGTACTGGCCACTCTACCACCTAGCAGTCAGTGAGTTTCAACATCTACTCACATCAGTCTGATGAAGGCCTTCAACCAGGTTGGCCGTAACGGTATGAAAATATTTCCGCTTGTGTTTGATAATTTTCATTAACGAAAAAAAAAACTACTTTTTAAAAAACAATGGCTACTTTTCCAATCCATGAAACCATATTTTCTTACAGCAAAAATACAACCAAAAATATTCAGAATTTATTATGCCTGATCATTTTTCTTCCATAACACTTTCGGAGTCAAATTCCTCCAATATTGACATTTTACCAACCACTTACATCACCGAGAAGCAGATAGTTAAGATGGGGTAAAATCACTCACACCACAATGGGACAACTCTGCTTCACAGATTAATTTCTTAATTTCCCAAGAGTTGCAAATGATATGCTAAAAAAGACATGTAAATCTAGTAGTGAAAGCTGGCTTAAAATCGTAATGACAGCTGGAGGGAAGGTGAACAGGGATCACATTACAGTCAACAATTGCAGCAAACCACAGGGAAATCGAAGCTGTTTTTTATAACACGCTGGAGAAACAGATGGCTAAAGACCTTGTCAACTCTATTGGCCACATACCCTAAAACTGTAGGAAGTAACCATACACTGAAATTTCTTTGCTTTTTCAAGTTTCATTTCTTTATAAGTTTGTCATTTGAAATGTAGTGATTATCAAAGCACTGTTTGTTTAATAAGCAATAACACTAATTTGAGGATTTGATTTTCATACTTTTCTGTACAAATTTCAAAAGACTACCATTTCTCGGTTTCAACAAACTAAAAATAAATAAACTGCAAAAATGACAGTCAAGTTTCATCTGACACAGGACTGCCTACTAATGCCTAACCATTTCTAAACATCATCCTCAGCTATGCATTTTCACTGGACTTTCTATCCATCATCACTTGTCAAAACTTTTCACAAATGTATGCTACCACCAATAAAGATGATTAAAATTACCAAAATGATCAAAATCCCTCAGTGACTACAGCTGTATATTTTGATTCCCTTAGATATAATCGGCAAGATTAAAAGGTGACAATATGAGTATGCGAAATAATTCATCATGAAGTCCCAGAAGACCCCCAAGGGGTTTCATAATGATTGCTTTAATCTACACAAAACAATTTTCTGAGCACTCATTTCTGACACCTTGGTGGGACTTTTGAAAAAGTAGATAAGCCCTAATTAGTTTAATGGGCCTTAAAAACTTGATGAAATTTACTTGGTTATTGATGCATTCAAATATCAAGAGTGGTGAGTTGGAAATTTAAGAAAAGTCCATTTATTTTGTCTCAATTAGCATTTGTTAAGTGCCACATTCAGAGCAAATGAAAGCATTTTATTAACATTCTCTTTCAATATGTTCTAAATATAACTTAGATATATTTTTAAAAATATTCTTCCAAATAGATTGAATAAAAAATCTCTAGTGAGAAAGACATCTTAATCAAATTGTTACGAACCAATTTATCAATTTCTCATATTTTTGCGGGACTTAAAAAATACATGAAAATTGTCAAATGTCCATTTAAGAGGAAAGTATTTGAAAGCTTTTTTGCAAGATAACTGTGATCTTTACATTAACCTTTCTCTAAAATACAAGAAGCATCGGGAAGATTTCCTTGTCTTTCAGATGAATCCAATTTGCAAAAATGTTGTGTCAACTTGTCATAACAGATTCAGACTGCAGAGCATCAGGAGAAAAGCTCGGCAGTTCATGCTGATAGCTATTAGTACTGATTGTAGCCTCTGATTTCCAGGCAATTTATCAACACTGTCATCCTCAATAACTGTCTTTCATTTACCGGATGACTATTATTGGGTTTTGTCAACTTTAACATTTACTTGTTGTCACAATGTCTTTGTTACTTCATGGCTGCTTTATCAATTACTGAAAATAAATTGTCATTTAGAGATAAATGAGAAAAAATATAGATTACAGAAGTGTTGGTAAATCTTCCATTTTGACATGTATGTAACATACCTACAGGTCATAAATAAATACACACTTTGGCATGTCACAGTTGTTATCAATGGGGCAAATAAACAAGTGTTTGACTCACAGAATTCTTCATTAAATTTAAAATTACTAGCATTGTTTTATTTTTTAGTAAATCACTTTTGCCAGTGTTTAAGCCATTCGTCTTTAATTGAGGCTACCAGTCAATCTATTTACTTTTGACTAACAGTGTTCATATCTCTGTACAATTCAAGCTTGGTTCAAAGCCGCATAATGGAATACAAATGGATGCATAACTAGGAATGAGGTTAAATAAAATCTTTGAACTGCCCTGTTAATGTGGAGGCATCAGAATATTATCTGGCAGATACCAGCTTATATCTGTCTTGTGTTAAATGGTCAACATGGCTTATACATACTATTTACATAACATACAATGATTTCACTTAGCAGAAAGGTTGACAAGCTGAAAAAAGCAAATGTTTGTTGTTGCCTGCCATATACATAATTCAGGGTTGTTATCCACTAGGTGGCACTACAAAAGTTATTGATCACAGTATCTTGAAGAAAACAGTGAATGAAGTAGTCTGCAGTAATGATGAAAGTAATGCTGGTCATGAAAAATTTTATTTTATGTAACAAAAAGATATTATCAACTTAATGATACAAGAAACAACCAATACATTTTAAGTATAAATTTAAAATTTCTTATTAATGTCACTTAATTAACTTTTCCTCTTTTTTATCCACAAAAAACGAAATTAGTATTTTTATTCTACTTTGGGCATTATGGGTAATATACAAAACTAGTTGTAACAAAAAAAATACGAGTCTTTCAGTCTAAGAAGTTTTCTACTGCTGAAACATTGTATTTGTGCTTATTCTTATTCCTTCCTAAACATGCTTATGAAAGTAGGCTTTAAAATATGATCATTGATGTCAGAGAGAGATAGAACTGCAGAAATCTGCTCAAAAAAAAACTGCTATAAATAGACAGGAAATATTGCAATCATTGTAAATTAGTTTCATTCAAATTATCATGTTAAATATTCATTAGTGGCAACTATCATTCTCACATTAATTTCCAGAAAGAAAATAAAAACCTCTTAATCCTTTTTTCTTAACTTTTCATTTGAGTTGCTTCAAATATTAATCTTTTACAAAAATATTTAGCAAATATTGTAAGAAAATATTTTCAAGATACAAAATGGCTAGAAAGAGATTAATCAGTCAAATGACATAAGCTTGCCTTTCTCAATACTGACCTTTAACCTTGTGTTGACCATTTTGAAATAGAATTCATCTGGATTTTTGTCCAAAGCCTTCTTCTTTAAAGATTTGATCGTGGCTTGTTTTCTCTGATAATCTCTAAAATCAAAATATAAAATTAATAAAGCTAGTCAGGGCCAGATGTTAACCTCAGGCACCAGGTAGCCCTGTAGGGTTACCAACTGCCAAGGTGTGATAGTTGGAGTTTTTTAACAAATATATATATATATATATGTTTATATCAGGATTTGACATAAAATATTTTCCAGCACTTGCCCAGTCAGGCAAAAAGGTGTCAAAATCAATTTGCCCCGCTCCAATATATATATATATATATATATATATATATATATATATATATATATATATATATATATATTTTTTTTTTTTTTTTTTTTAATATAAGAGGGGGAGGGGGAGGAAGAGAGGTGTACAATGTAATTTGTAAATAAATAATTTCAAATAATGTGTTTGGGAGGAGGTTACAAAAACCTGAAAATGACTTTTCTAATAGTGCTTGTTCTTCAAAGTTAAGAGTGCCAATTAATTTTAATTAATATTTTCTAAATTTCTCATTAGTGATGTTTCTGCAAGGGGTGGGGGTACCTCCCCTAAAAAATTTTGAAATATAAATAAATATTTATGGGCAGTACAGTTCACTACCCGAGTGACTTGATTTGAAAATTACATAAAAGAAAGAGGGACTCCACCCACCCCCTTAGTTTCTAAAAAAAAATTACACCGAAATTCCCCACTAGCTGAATCATAGTTCTAAACCAAACCAAATGGCGCCGTTTGCTCTCCAAAACACCAAAATTTTTGGTCCCCTTGAACGGACCCCCAAACCACATATCAAGGGGGCGAGGGTTCGCAACTGAGGCCTGTCTTTTCTAAAAAATCAAACCCGCCTTCAAATAATCCTGGATCTGCCCCTTAGCATTATATTTGAAAAAAACTTCCTTTACATGAAATGTAACAGGATGACGAACATACACAGTAAAATCAGAATAGAGTTTTTAAACACAGCAACTGAAGACTATATATGCAATCATCTTGCTGAAAAAAATTGGCACCACTTACGTAGCTCGTAGTTTGTAGTCTTTTTTCTTCTCCAAGAGTCCTAGATGTGCCCTGCTACTTGGCTATAAAAAAAAGGTATTTATGAAATTGGTGCTACCATCTGATATCGTGATTTTAAAACAGAACATTTAAATTCATAATAATCATCTGAACAAAGCAAGAAAACAAAGAATATTTCTTGAATAGAACAGTACTTAATATCTATGCTTATGTAAAATAAACTGTGTATTGAATATACATGTACATGTACTGTATATTTTAATACATCTTAAAAGATGTGATTTGTACACTTTTGGGTGGAACACATCACATGATCCAATAATGGGGGCATTTGTACAGTATATTGTTTATCTGTACATGGTAAATATCATCGATATGTTTAATATACAACACTGATGTCTAAGGTCGAAATGCAGTCTGTACACAGTGAAATATCAAGACGTCTACTTGGACAAGTACAAATAACAGATGTACTTTTCCGTCTTTAGACCTCTTGAACACGTTTTCTTTACACACTGAGAGTGCTAGGACAACAATGAATGCATTTATGCAAATTAAAAAAGGAAGACTAGAGGCTGCTTTTTTGGAAAAGATGGGAAATTAGAGTCAAATAAGCTACCCCACAGCTCCAGTTGCAGCACATTTCAATGGAGTACATGTACATGTATTTGGGTGTTGGGGCAGTTAGTTAAGATCTATATAAGGCTACATTATTTACCTGATTCCTCTCCCTGTGAGTCTTTTGGTGCGATTTTTTTGCATTCTTGAACGTCGACATCTTTGCTTTGTGTATAAATTAAGAAATACCGAATTGTTTACGTTTCACACATACGAACTCATGGCCACTACAATCGGAAATAGCGATAACATTGATCTGCCCGGGTGCTGCTAGATGTTTCTAATCTCTCAGCATTAGAGAGCAAGATTAGTCTAAATAACGCACGTACGCTCACTTCGGTCAATATAACGTATATGCATCTTAGTTCTGATGTTCATTTGCTTTTTTTCATGAAAATGCATTTTTAGGTAATAATAAAATATGTATAATAAGTTTCTACAACTTTTTTAGATTTCATGTTGTATTTCTTGGGAAACTAAGTTATCGTTAATTGGCAGTCAAGGTACTTAAAAAGCAATTAGAAAATTAGAATTAAAAAAAATTTGAATTTCAATTTGAAATGAAACTGATGTAACTGAAAGGGTTTCGTCAAATTAATATAAAATTTCTATTTTTAAGCTCCTGAAAACATGTCAGCTATTCACCCACTGGTGAATGGTTACAACCCGTCCCAAGGCCCCAGAAAAACACTGGGTAGTAATTTCAGAGACTCGAGTTTAATTTACGGAAAAATTTGATTTTGAAGTCTCCTGTCGATTAAATTGTGATATGAGTAGAGCCGTTTAATCACTGCGCGTGCCAAGTTTGTCATTTTCTTACCCAATTTTGCTTTGGTCGTTTGAGATTTCAATTAATTAACTCGACAGCGCTCTAGGAACTTAAACCAAATTTTCTTAACCCCGTCGTGGCTTTAATTTTGCGGTCCCTAACCTTCAATCCGCAAGAGCTCTTCTTCTCCTAGTATTTTCTTTTGAAGCAATCGAGCTTAATTTGTCCAGGGAATTCGTCACTGATTGCGGATTTCGAGTGTCACAGGACCTTTGCAACGCACGCATTTCACCCTTGCTCCCAACTCCCCGAACTGTAACAAGAAATTTCGATTTGCCCTGCACCACGAGGATTGAGATAGGCGTTACAAGAATTAACTTCTAATTTGTTCTATTTTCTAAACCATGAAATTGTCTTCTGATAGCATGGATTTTAGCACAAGGCGATAAGAGAAGACGCTGTCAGGATGTCGCATCTGCTGTGACTAATGATAATGTTTTACTCGATCTATTGCACTGTTGCCACAGTGATATTTTGATATTGCCATCTTCTTTTATTGCTAATTTTTCCCATTTGGCCACCAACCATCGGTCAGTCGGGTTTATCTGTTCATTTAATGCTCATATATTCTTGATGTACCAATGAATTATTCCTCTTGATTTTTAGGTTTTATTCTTTAAATGTTTTTGTTCCCTTACTTCTTTTCTTTGATTTTTTATCATTTAATTTTTGTAGTGAATTTCATTTCGCGTGTTATTTCTCTCTCTATCTCTCTCTCTCTCACACACACACACACACACACACACACACACACACCATGACACATACACACGCACACATACAAGCACACATACTTTTAAGTCCCCAGCCGTCAAACATGCCTATCGCATACAAGCACCGACTCACCTATACTAAACGTGCGGCGCAATGCACTTGTCTGCCCACCCCGCACACCCATTATCCAGCAGAGAGGATCTATCTCATGTCATCTTTTTCACATTGTCTGAAACTTGAAATCTTTTATAACTCCATTCCATTTTCAAAATGGTTTACTTAAGGGAAAATTTAAAACACTAATTCTTTTTGTTGTGTGATGGGGCTTTTAATTTGTGTGGTTTCCGCACGCACAGAAAAATGCAGATTTTCAATTAAAATTAGGCCTACATGATTAGCGATTAATATTGCCCGCGAAATTTACCGAACGTTTCTCTTTAAAACATTTCCATTTGAAAGGAACATTAAATTGAATTAATTGTTTATCATAATCATTCCTAACCCAACAGCAGGACTTGTATCGATCATATGTCGTCCCTTGAAACTCCTCTAAACGACACTCTTGCGATATTACGAGAAATCCACGTCGTTTCGGTAATAAATCTCCGCAGGACTTTTCTAATCACAGCGGGTCCAGATCGGAGCGCAACTTAATTCTGTTTTCGTTCTTTTCCAAATGGATTAGTGCCTGATCTGAACGGGGGCTAGAACCCAGCTATCTCCGTCTAACTCAATTTTCATTCGGAGGATCGAAGGTAAACGACAATATATAAATTAACGAAGATTGATGATCGTTTCGAAAATTCAATTTTGTTGCAATTAAGACAAATAATAATCTAGTAATAAAATTGAAAACGTCACGTGATTTATGGAAAGAATATCGTTCTTTACTAGTGTTCAAACATTTTTTTCTGTTGTTTGAAACATCAATAACCACAACCAGGTCTATAGATTCATTGGTTTTAAAATATGTCCCACTCTGTACTATTTCTTGTCCAACCTGTATATAAAATAAAACATGTTATCGAAAGCCTTTTTTAACTTGCACAAACAGGTAAAATAGTACAGATATATATGTATCAAAGAGCCTAAATTGTTCTCAGCTGTTGAAAAAATTCATCGATTCATTTATTACAGCAGAAACCCATATTTCCTTGAAACACAGGTATTATTATAAATTATGCGCATATTAAAGGCTTAATTTCGGGCTCTGTTTTTTTAACTTGCGATATTGTTTACAAGGTAATGGCTTTAAAATGTTATTTTTTTTAAAGTCGTCAATGTTCTGACAAACACCTCCCTTTGTAGCCTCGTCTTCCCTGTAGCCAGATTACCTCCTATGTTGTTTTAAAATATACAGTATATATATTTTGAGTAAAGTGATAGAGAGCCTTAATTTGATTGTTGTGCTCAAAATGCCACGGAGGCCATGATTCACTGAGAGAAACCCCAACCGTTTCTATGTATGTCAAATTTAGAACAGCATCTTGCCTATGTTTTACGTGATACTTCAAAATTATAATAAAACCGTATCTGAGTGAAAGCAAAATAACGTGACGAGTACATAAGTTCAAGCCACAGAGTAGTGTTGTTATAGGAGTGTAAATAAAGACAAGAACGAACAAGAACGATGCAAATGGCAGATTGGTCAATTTCAACGATTAGCAATCCTGAACGACGCACATGTATATTCTCCTTGCCCTCTGTCGTAGTTGTCATAATTTGTTGTTCACTAAGCCGTGCGATGATGTGTTCATTATAGATAGCAATAATTAGATCAAGGTATTACGGCGAGCTGGATCGATAGATTAAAGATAAAATTAGAACCATTCATCGACAGGCTACCACAGTTGATGCTCTGATGTAACCCTCCAAACTCTATCAAATTTACGTCAATAAAATGAAGTCCAGTTATGTCAGCATCAGAATTAACGACTGTCTGTTTGATATGATGTAAACTTGCTCGATGTCCTTCCCTAACATTGCGGAGAATTTATTTCATTTTCGGTACATGATTGCACCTTTCTACATTAAGTGTTATTTGCGTGCTCGCACCAGTAATGCATTTCCAGTTAATATATTTATATTCGATTGAATGGAGCAAGCTCGTTCTCTAGGCAAAATCGTCTTTTGGACGCATCATAGAATGAAAATTATGGAGTAAAACATTATTTAGCGAAGGACATGATTTTCGTTTTCAGCTTAAGATTTTTTCTCTCTTAATATCATTTACTGTACAACTCATAGTGTGAGTACGCGTACCGTGAGGAACAGGGCCAGATTGATTCTCTATTTAATTGTTATCCTAGTCAGTCATTGGATAAATGTACCAAAGTTGTCAGATTGACTCAACTTTGAGTAGAAAACGCTAATCAAATCAGTTGTTTCATAGATAATTTCAGATGCTCCATAAAACGTGATTTTCTCTTCATATCTAGTCATGATTACGGAGAAAACTTTATTACAAATGTTGTGAAAGAAAAACTGGACCATCTCAAGGTCTAAAGTGAATATGTTGAATAAGTTGAAAACATTCTAATGGTTATTCTCTCTCTTTCAGAGAGCATTTGCATTATATATGTAATATATATTGCGTATCATTCCTGCTGAGCGCTTCTTGATTTTTTTGTATTAACAAGTCTCAGTTAAACGTCCAGTGTTCGTCTATTATTGAGAAATCGCGTCGCGAGAAGAGTAATATCAGTGAGATCAAGTGTGCTTAAAGTAAATCTTCTTCATTACAGAAGATAATACATTCCTGGAGGCATTTTTCTGCACGTTGTCTCCGAGAAAATATGTGTTTCTTTCTTTTGTTATCTATGTGTTCTGCTTTCCTCAATTGACACTATTATTGGACGGTATATAAAGTAGATATAGCGAACTCTATAAATAAATTCACCCAGATCATTTAAAAAAATTATAATTATATCATTATTGAAGAGTACGTGTGTATCCAAATAAGGTGGAGATAGCTGCTTGCTGTGGTTTATAGGCTTATCAATTACTTCTTTGGCCTGTGTGTACTTACTAGTGATGAAAAGACGGAAAACTATAGGCAGGCTGCTCTTTTACAATATTTATTATGAAAACCTAAGTAAAATGTTTCGTTATAGACATGTCTAATAATACAACACAAATTTTACACTTATTAGTAATTAAGTGAAATAGCAAAGACATAAAGGGGCATAATTATACAGATAAACAAGTGCAAGTGTTACACAACTTAGGAATTTATGAAAAATAAGTTAACACCCGTATACAGTGTGAAATATACATGGAGTCCTGTAGGGGGGTATTCTTTAGATAAGCCAAATAAGATGTTTTCACATATAGACATATATATAAATACAAAACAAATTACACCAATAAGTAAATAATATGAAATTGCAAAGAACAAAATACGGTTTTATTATTCATTCGGCAACGTTTAAAGAGCTGGTTCTCTGGGACGGAACGGATGTATGTAAACATATCTACAGATATTTGTTAACAATTACAAAAGGAAAACATAATACAAAAAATAATACACGCTAGCTTGAAAAGGGCCGATTTATTCCTATGCTTCATTTAACATTTATGCTTGCTTTTACTTGTATTTAATTTTTTTTTTCATTTGTGATATACGTCTATTAATTCCAAAAGCCGTTAAATTCATCGCTATTAAGTAAGAATCGATCAGCGAAAACTCGAGCATTGATCCATGTAATGGAAGTCAGTAAGT